AGAGATTTCCATTTAAATCGCAATGCTTGTTTAATTAAATGTCTTTATAGATTCACAATCTGACAATGCAACGTAAATCACTACCTTTGTCTTCTGCATAATAATGTTCAGCTCTCTGTCCAGCAAATTAATAACAATAATAAACTTTATTTTATATAGCGCCTTTAAAGGTGGCTTCTTAAAGCGCTTTACAGGATAAAAACAACAATAACAACAACAATATTGTATTTAATTGCATTTTCACAGATCATCTTTAAATCAATTGTTGATTTAAAGTTTGACAGTAAATGTTTATATAGTAACGCATATATTGTAATACCCTCCATTGCTTGTGAGAGCCAGCTTACCAGCACGGTGACATCACCAACCTTCCCTGGTTCTAGCAGGGACTGCAGCAGCCAGGCTGAGGGGAGATTCCCCTTTGGCTCAAGAGGCTGGGTCCCAGATGAGTGATGTAGGAGGCTTTGGTTTGAGTCCCTGATGGTGGGGGGCTGACCTGCTATGGCAGTGGTGAGGGTGCCCCTGTGAACCCTGTGGTGTTACAATATCATTATATCTAATTTTTTATTTCTTTATAAAAATTTAAAAAATCATTTGCCCAGCCTAAGAGTGGGGGTCTGCTCTCATTGACAGCTGACACTCCTCCATACACACAAGTGAAAAATTAATAACACCAATGTAATCGTCGTATTTACAATTTGTTGATAATAAAAATGTTAAGTTCTCTAAAGCTTTCTCAGTCAAGTATGATAGTTTACCCAGGGAGCTGTGTAAGCATGCGTAGGCAGCAAAAGATCAGCTAAACTGGGAAGATACGACACCGAAGATATTATTAATAACCTTTTAAATCTGAAGGGAGATCTAAAGGGATCCACACGATACAGGTTCCTGCTACTGGAGCGATTCAGAGGGAAAGACGGTGACTATTTGTTGTTATTAAAAAATGACTTAGATTCGAACATGTTGTGATATTTAGAAATGTACAGAAGTCAATTAATTGTCCATAATATTGCTATTTTATTTTTTCAAAGAAATGTTTGTTAAGAGAAAATTTATAGCACTTGCTGGATTTGAACAGCTGAACTCTTGCTTATAAGTCAGGCACTTAACCATTATGCCACTAGCACACTCATATGAGAAGTGGTGAAACAGCCTTACACATAACAATAGATATGTGTATATACTACTGTTTGTGTTGCAGTACATGAATATAATTATATCGTTATTAATTTCTTTAGATATGCGATTCCATATTATATTCCTTATTAATCAAATTCTAAAAGTATGGTTGTTTACTCCGGTATCGAGCGTATTCGTAGAAAAGCTTAAAATTATCACTTTTCTCACAGAGTACTGTATACTGTATAAACATCCAGTTCAGTAACATGGTCAGAGGGAGCAAGGAGCACGTAAAAACGTTTCCAAAATAACCACATGTAAGACTTTGATGCTTAAAATGTTTAGGGAGAAATGGAATACTGGTGTGTATTTTTTCTTTAAAGTACCGGGGGCAGCCATATACAGTACAGTTTACATACAGTAATATGATTATATTTCTAGATTAATATCTTTTATGAGCATGTGAAAGGCATGGTGAATCGGAGATTCTCAAGAATTACTTTGCATGATTGGAAACGAATCATGCAAAATTATGATTTCGTGATTGGATCAACGAAATGCTGTGGTGTTACTTTTTGTTAATGAAAAAATAAAGTATTTTCATTTACAAAGACGGTCAATGAAAATAGAAAGTCTTTTCGTTTACAAATATGGTTACAAAGAATGTGGACCAGGGTTATACTTTGAGTTTACTGCTTGTCCAAGGTCATTCATTACTAATACTATTAGTAATATCTTCGGTAAAGACTTTGATGGCTACAGCTCAAACGTTGTACATGAGAGGTTGAGCTTTACCAGCTCCATCTGGCGGAAATTCCAAATACTATTATCTCACTTGCGGTATCATGCGGTATTATGCGGGATTATACGGTAACCTGTGTTATACTGCGACAAGCGCACCGCGTTTTAACCCAGTATAACCCGCTCGTTTTGAATGGCTGCATCTGTATGGTTGTGGAAAAGAAGTAGTAATATGATTTTTTTTAAAACCGCAAATTACACAGAAACAGTATTTCAATTAATTTATTAAAGCTGGAAAAATAATATTTGCAGGTATAAGTCTATATTTAGCACTTTTTACGTAATTATCCATGTCTATTATACAAATTAGACACAATATGTTGTTGTCCCACAGGGTCTGAACTGTATAGAATTTTAAATGAAGCTTCCTGGTCAGAACATTTATCATCAGTGACATTGTTGTTTGAATAAAATAGTCTTATATGTAAGGCATAACACAGTACATTCTGTCAAAATCTGTCAATGTATAGGAACACGTTTCATTGAGAAAGGAACTAATTTAGTACAGATATTTTAGCCCTAATTGTTAAAATACAAAATACTTGGAAAATAATGGTTATTGATATCTGATCAGGACATTTGATTACCAGTGCCTGTGACTATTGCTGTATAACAATGAACATTATTTTTTTCTGTTGAAAGAAGCACTCCTACATTATGGCACATTTTTTACACAAAAAACAAACATTTAGATCACGGTTTAAGAAACCTCTGACCAATATCATGATGGGATGTGCTTGAGAGGGTGATCATAAATTCTAAATTCTTTGGTCCTCCATTCACAAATGAACAACTCAGACATTAATTAAATCCAATTGCCAGTAATCGATGAGAACATCTCAGTAGGATTTAGATTAGTGGACTTCATTGAGTTGACAATGTCCAGTTAACATTTTTTATTAAAAGGGTTGCTGAAATAAAAACTATTATTTATACTGCGTATAACATTGCACAGTTGAAATATGTCCCAACATTTGGGAGTTATATTTGACTCCTGCTTGTATTCCATACTTATACTTATACCATAGGTCTGACCTGGAATAATAATAAAACTCCCCCAAGATATTTCAGTCTCTGTCCCTCATTCAAAATCCCAAAGTGTAAGAGTATGGAACATTCTATGAAAAGAAAAAAGATTACTGGGTCTAATATAAAAAGTACCAAACACCCAGGGCTCTTTGGGAGACCACAGAGAGTGAGAGTGAAGGACAAGATGAAGGAGCTAAAAAGATGCTTATAGAAGCCACCGAGGGGCTGACAGTGGAATAAACCAAGATTAATGTTTTTTTTTCTCTTTTTAGAATTGCTTCTTTGTAAGAAAATAAAATAATAATTCAATGATGTCACCAGTACTGGGAATTTTATAGTTTTGAAAGCCCAAACCAAGAAATGAGGAGTACACAATGGAGATCAAATTATGCATAACAAAGTCTTGTGAGAAAGAAAGTGGAAGTGCTTTCTCAACCTGCTCCTTTACTTCCTTGAATGTAAAGAGGAAAGGAGAAGGACCCTTATTGCAAACAATGACAGCAGATCGTATGCATAAAGAAGACCAATAAAACACTTTCTTGACAAATTCTATAGTGTTAAACTATTACATATATTTTTTGCCCAGAAATAATGTGCTAAATTTGGCATAGATATCTGTCCCATGAAAGCTACAGTATGTCTCTACACAATAATGCATATTACCACAGTAATGATCATCTTAAGAAAAAGTGTCACATTGACCTGATCTGTCATTTTCAAGACAAAACACTCTGTCACAATGACCTGAAGTGCTCTTTAAGACAAACACTCTCTGTCACCCTGTCCTGGTTAGAGGTTCTCAAGATAAGTGTAAATTCTAAAAATGCCAGTTGCCCCAATAACCTGGTTTGGACTTCTCAAGACAAACTGCCTGTCATGAACAGGGACTGAAATCCGTGTCAGATCTTGTAGAAGACCCTATGCGATGCGGAAAGAGCTGGAGAAAACAGGAGGCGTGATAAAAGGGAACACACAGGGGTTTAATAGTGCACAAAATAATAGTGACAATCCGTGAGACAGTGTACGGGGAAGACAAAACGGCATCCAAATTCAAGCGGGTCCAAGGGCAGGTCAAAGCACAGTCCGAGAGTCCGTCAACAAGGAATCCATCCTGGGACGCGACAAAGTTAAAATCCCCGGGAGGCGGGAGCACACGGACAAACAAAACATGGAGGTTCAAGGGTGAAGGGGCGAGATCCTTCAGAACCCGGGCTCAGGAAGTGGGAGATGTCGGGGATGAGGCCTATGCCCTTAGGAGACAGACGTAGGGTTTCCTGGTGCTAGGCCGGCCTGGCGACATCTTACCCTAATGATGAGCCCCAAGGACTGGAGGAGCTGGTCTTTAAATAATAATGCTAAAAGGGTACACCTGGGGAGCTTAATCACAAGGACAATAATGGGAGCAGTGGAGCGTTCTCTAGGGAGGGATGTCGGGCGTGACAGTACCCCCCCCCACAAGACTAGTGCTTAAATACAAGATGAGACGGAGGTGTGGTGGTGAAAGCATACACTGATAGGTAGACTAATGAACTAAGACTATGCCATCTTCTGCCTCTTTCGTTGCTTGGAGGCAGGGATCGTAACACTGCCACACTGACCTTGGCTGTGTGCCTTCTGGGATAGTTTGTCATAGAACTCCTCCGCACTGATTTGCTCAGCCTAGAAACAAACGAGAAAAGCTATGAGATTTCCAAAATAGAATCTGAAGAGTAAGGAAAGGGAAGAGACAGAGTTACATGGCTCTCTCCAGCTCACTCTAACAATACTGTGATCACAGGGAGGTGACAAAATAGAGTAAGTCAATCACATTTAAGAATATCAGAAGTTACTACTGAACTCTGATGTACTGTATATTACTGTATTTATTTCCTAAACCCTGTATGCCAATTTTAAGAAGGACAATTACATAAAAATCTTCAAAAGCTTTGGAGAATTTCCTGTGCGGTCCTTCAGTGGTTTATTGATAGTTCTGTTACCTATCTGTTTTTTACCTTGTCATTTCTTAACTAGAATACACTCTGAAAATAATCAATTGATTCGCTTTGTCCTTCTGTGATGGTGCAGGCCAAGGCCTTGGCCAGGGCCTCCTCTGTGAGTGAAAACTGGACACACTGGACACTAACTGCCTGATTAGTATCCTGTGTGCCTGGAATGCCACTGGAAAAAAAAAAGAAGTGAAGTGATTGGTCCAGTTGGTGATTCCACCTTCCACAGGCATAGCGTCATACGTTATATTAGTAGCCAGGTGTGGTTGTGTCCAAGCTTCTGCAGTTCGGGGAGGGAGAGCAGTTGTAGAATTGTGAGTTTAGGTAGCACGAGTAATTATATGACTATGCTCTTCAATCAGAACACCAGCCAGCAGTCTGTATTATTAGTGGTATGCAACATTGAGAAAGTTAAGGGAAGATTAGCAAGAGTTTTCTTTTCATTTTTTATTAGTTTTTGATAAAAGGATCCAGAGGGGAGAAAACCTGTTTTGCTAGTGGTATATTCCTTACTTTTGTTGTGAAACTCCTAAGTGCCTAAGAGGAAGTTGATTAGTGTGGTTTTGTTGAAACCTGGGCATAAAAAGGCAAAACCAGGTAATGTCCACCAGCAGGTCTCTTAGGAGATGTGAACATGAATCTTCCAAAGAAGGGAAGCCTGACCACAAAAGCAAGGCCAGTTTAAGTGTCAGGGTGTCCAAGGGCAGGATAATGAGTTGGATAATGAATTGGAGATTTTTTTGAGCCTTAAAGGGTAATACTACTGTTCCGTCCCTCCTGGGATTTTTCTGAAGATTGCAGATTGGGACAGTAGTGGAGGAAGAAGCACTGGATTGACTGTGCAAATGGAACCTCTGAGGAATGGACTGGTTTGGGACCGTACAGGCTTCTCCGCAAGGGGACCACTGGTACATCACAGGAGCCTGGAGGAGTTCTGTAAACCAGTAAGAGAGACAGGCCACCGAAATGTGTGGTCCTGAACTGGTGATATAACATATTACCACCAGTTGAGTGAAATAACAGACAATATAACAATTTTTTACAAAAATAGTACAGTTTTGATCTGCGTATACTGCAGATGAGTAAAAGAAGCTCCTCAGCTCTGCCAGTACATGTTCATCCTTGACAAAAATGGTATCATGATTCCTGTGCTCCTGTGCAGAACACAGACTGCAGATCAGTGTCTGGTCAGTCTGACAGAACAGCTCCAGAGCTTTGCAGTGTTGCTGGCACAGTCTGGTCTCCCGGTCTCCATTCACCTCCACCAGTCTGTGTCTCTGCAAAGCTGGCTCTGTGTAGTGCTTCCGGACATGTATCACGCAGTAGGCAGCAGGGCAGACTTGGCAGTATTTCACAGCTTTGTGCTTCATTCCAGTACAGAAATCACAGGAGACATCTTCAGGACTAGAATACCTGTGAACAAAGGGAATTCAGTCAGATCATTTCCTTTAACTCCCAAAGAGCTGTACAATAAAGCCTTGTCTTCTATGTTATTTTGCTATACCAACAATATTTTGGGGAGGATAATAGTTTGTATATGGTGATATTTTTTGTCAGCTCAGTTGTTCTCTTTCACTATGAACAGCTGCTTCTGTGGGTTAGTGCTGAGTTCACTACAAAAGAGATAAAAAATGTGATTCCACGACAATGACATACATTGTCCCTGCAATATTTCACACACTCAAAATCTAGAATAGTGAAGTTACAGTAACTGTACTGATCCTAAAATATTTCACATTCTATGGACGTGAAGTCCATACACAAAATGTATTAACTCTGCAATTACAGCACACTCATACCTAATGACAAAAATGGTATATAGTTGCCTCCAGGTGGTACAAGACTGTCACGTTAATTGCCATGGTAACTGGTGCTGTAAGTCAGGTGAATGGCTACCCTATTGTCACGATTATAGTCCCTCCTCCTTAAGGGTGCTCCAGCCCTTTCACTTCAGACTTAATTCTGTGCACCTGACCCCTTTTCCCAGCCCACATTAAAAGCCAGGTGCTGACGTTCATCCTGGCTCTGCATCTGGTTTCCGCACCATGCGAGTCCGGGACCTGGAAGCGCCTGGTCCCGTTAAGGTTTTAACCTCTGTTCCTGTTCCTTGTCCGCCGGTTCTGACCTGGTTCGTGTTTTTAATTCCTTGTTTGGATAGATCACCTGGCTATGGACTTTCTTGTATTTTTGATTCCCTCTATGGATTACTTTTGGATTGTTTGCCTCGGCCACACCTTCCCTGTGCACCAGCGCACTTTAGACACGCCCCCCATGTTTTCAGCCCCGTATCCCTGCATGACTTTTTCCTAGTGTTTCCCACTTCTTCGGATTGTGTCGTCCGCATAGGGTCCGGAAAGAACTGTTCGTTACACCTATAAATACTAGCTTGTCTCACTGTTTATCTGTGACAAGCATGGCAAGTGCATGTTGCAGTTTTGGTGCATACCTGATGTCAATCACTCATAGAATTATACTGTATGTTTTATGTACCATGAAGGTAAATGTAATAAAAGACAGTGACATTTTTAAAGGCTTAAACAGAATAATGAAACTAAAAGTCCTGCCACATTGCAAACAATTAGTAGAAAGGAAAATGTTGAAGTTGATTCCACATATTTCTGATTAGGGTTTCTGAGTGTTGAGTATTATGCAGGGGGCGGGGGAGAGAAATAAAACAAAGTTTTAAATATACTCTACATAAAATGAGGCTCAACAGGTGAAATATATTTTTTTTCTTTCGGCTCTGTAATTTTCACTGTGGAACTAACCTCTATTTATTAATTTGTACAATAACTGTATCTTATTTGTATGCTTTTTGTATTCATATATATCTGGGGAAATTGGTCTCAAATTATGTCATATTGATTTTAATGCTTTTTCTAGGTACATAATGTAACTTGATATAGGTCTGAGTACTTGTTGTATGTACGTTTTATTTTCATTTTTATTATGTCTTTTTTTTAAACATGCCATCCTATTGTATGTCCAACTGTCAAAAGGCTTAAATGAGTCACCTGGGGTCAGGAGTGAAGGATCCATCACCGAAGTCAATTTGTTGCTCTTTTGAGACATGACTCTTCAGAGACAGATTACTGGGTGACCCTGGTCTATCCTTCTGAATTCTATAGAGAAGTCAAACACATGTCTCAAATTAAACTCAATCTCCACATCAGACACTAGCATCGAGGACTAGCAGAAAAAAGGCTCTTTACGTTTCAAGCACCATTCTGTCATTGGCTATATCCATGTCATATTCTTAAAAGGCTGGTTTAAGGCCTTTAAACCCATTTTCCCTCCTGCCCTCACACCAGCTTTACCTCTGCCTGAGCCTGATGGAAACTCTGCACTTGGCCACACAGTCATGCAATATGAGGACATGGAAGAGTTCCCAGATTTCATATTTATTTGGCAAAATGAAATCCCTGCAATTGTATACCTTGATTTAGCAGGCTTAAGAGCAGTTGAAGCAAATCCAAATTGGAGGATTTTACACAGTTGTTTTAGAGGAATTGTAATATCTGTGAATGAAGCATTGAAGGTAATGCAAGGTGATATGGGATCTAATTGCAAAGAATGGTATTTGATCACCAGCGAGTAACAGTGTTAGGAGCAAGTGATATCAACATTAACCTACATTTGTCATACAGTACATATCCTGACTGTACTACTCAAGGTCTTATTCATAACTCCTAACACAAAGCGTATCCTATGAGGTGTTTGCATACAGTATGTGCAGATGAGGCATGAAGCAGGAAAATACAGAAGATCAAAGGTTGTTTTATACCTGTTTAAATAAATGTTTGTCTTGTCTCAGTATGGTTGTAATTTATGGCTCTATGACTAGAACTGTATTGAAGAATATATAGGACTAATGTGGCCTCCTGTCTCATATGAACTCATATCTCTTATGTTATGAAGAAAAACACAAGATTCTTACATTCACTATTGAGCTGTGGCTTATTATACCAGAATCCTCCCATAAAGTATTTTTTTGTGTGTGCTTGTTACAACTCATGTAATCACTCTGAGGAACACATAGTTTGATGAAGGGAACAAGTCATAAACATTTTGATAACTGATTTTAAAATATAAAAATATCAGGCTGTTGGATCTTGCTCATTTGTCTACGCATGAAGAGACTAAGTACTGAAACTGACAGTCTTGCACATCGCAATTGACAGTTACTGCAAATGAACATGTAAAGAGTTAATTTCACACATTTCTGAAAAGCATAAGAAAAAAATAAATCTGGTTGACTTTAGAGCCTTCTTCAGGTGTGGGGGAGAAAGAAATGATCTGTTTTACATGTCTGTTACACAAAAATAACAGATATGTGTGAAACACTGCAGTCTTTTTCAATTTCTGAACTCTTTATAGGTTTCAGCTTTTCCCGCTCCCCTAAAAGATTTTCATTTTGTTAGTCTTTTTTTTAGTCATTCATATTTTGTTTTACATTCCTGCACTCTTTATCTCACTCCATTGCACCTCAAGAGACACACCATGTGAAATACATATATTTTTTGTTCACTATTTTTTCACTATGGAATTAACCACTACTTGTTCATTGGCAGCTCTCCACTTGAACAATTACTGAATGCTATTTGTATTCATATATACAGTATTTAAATAAACACTGCACATCACACCCTTGCTCGTGAACTTAACCCTATAATATCAATCTCTGGGGAAATTGGTCTCCAATTATGTCATGTTGATTTTCAATACTTTTCTAGTTACATAATATACCTAGAAAATATGTCTGTTGACTTCCTGTCTTAAATTTTTGCAGATTTATGAAGGAAAGTGCAGTCTGATCTCATGTCCACCTGTCAACAACCTTGAATGAGTTACCTCACCTGGGATCTGGAGTGAGGGATCCACCACCAAAGTCAATGTGTTGCTCTTTTGAGTCATCGCTCTTCATAGACAGATTACTGGGAACCCGTGATACTGGTCTCTCTATCTTAAACCTATGTATCGTAAAGCTAAGAAATAAAACACATGTCCCAAATTAACCTCAAACTTCATATTTGGACATTAACAGAAATACATATTTATTATACATAGGTGTGGTTAAGGATGCCATGAGACAGCAGCTCTCTTTTTCAAAGTGTTTTTTTGTGTTTTGTAGTTGCTGTTCGTTATGGGGTATTAAGGAAGAGAAAAAGATTCTTTAGCGTAATAGTCAACATTATGCACATAGTTCTAGCTGATCGCTTGGATATACAAAAAATGGAAAATTTAAATATGGTATAATTAATTATTTTACAGCTATAGGTGGCTTATTTTTAGTAGAACTGTGTTGTTCACTAAATCTTGCTATGTATGGTGTTATACATTTAGGGTGTTTTTTGAGTGAACTTGTCTTCAGTTCAGAATGGGGTGAAATATTCTCCATAAGAAATATATATTTTTTATTTTCAATTTATGATCTCTTGCCTTCCGAACAGATTTTCAGAAAATTAGGTTCGGATACGAGGGTATGGGTGTATTTATTTACATTTCAGGGGTCTTTCTGTTTGCTTACCGTATACATATAGTAATTATACTGAGAAGGTTGTTTTTTCCCCATTTTCTTTCCTGCCCTCACACCAGCTTTATTTCTAACTGACCCTGTTGGAAACCCTGCAGTTGGCCACACAGTCATGCAGTGTGAAGTACAGCTTTCAGTTCTCATCTTCTATTGGCAAAATTAAACAATTTTATACAATGATGTAGCAGGCTTCCCTTGACGCAAATCCTGACTGCAAGATTTTTGGGTAGATCACTATACCAAGGTATTTAAAATGCATAAGCATTGTTTTTGAGCTAGTGATATCAATGTTAACCTATTTTATAACCTACAGTATGTTTATAACCTTTTATAACCTATTTTTGCATACAGTGTTTGCATATCTGAAGATGAGACAAGGCAGGAAAACATACAGTAGATGATTGAAGGCGATTGCTGGTGATTTACTCAGGTTAATTCACTTTATGAAGATCACTACAGCTATAGGAAACAACATCAATCCAGAAGCAAAGGAAGAAAAAAAGAGGCAGAAGGAAAGAGACAGGGTGAAAGATAAACAGAGAAGAAGAAACATCACCTGAATATCTGAATATTCCTTTTTCTGATCACTCGCTCTCTGGATACACGTCTCACCTGTCCTCTCTGAATATCATCAGAGAGTTCATGTTCATGTTATTTTAGAAAATTCTCATTCCCTCTGTTGTATTATCTTCAGCCAAAAACAATCTTCCCTCAGTTTGGTGATTCTCAGTTACTTTAGACTTAGATCATTGATGTCATAGGAAGAAAGATTTAGTTCTGTTTAGCATCCATTTATGAGGATGCATTTTTTTTCTCTTTTTAGCCTGTTTAGGTATCATAGTGTTCGCAGATTATAGCATTAGCATACTGTGTTTCTGAGTCTGTAGAATATAGGCCTGTGGAATGCATTGATTTATACATTTATGCCTTTTTTGAATACAGTTTTGCACATGAAAAAAGTAAAGGGTGAATTCCACACATTTCTGAAAAGCACAAAGAAAAAATACATCTGGTTGATTTTTTAGCCTTCTTCAAGTATTAGGGAGAAACATATCTGTTTTACATATACAGTATGTTATACAAAATAATAGATTTGTTTGAAAAGCTCTACTCTTTCTGCAATCGTTTATAGATTTTACAGCTTTTCACACTTCTTTAACAGATTTTCATTTTGTTAGTGACTTTTTCATCTGTTGTGCCAATTCCGACAGGACATTTTTCCTCCTATGTTGCTTGATATTACCTGCACTGTTCATCTCATTCCCTAGCACCTGAAGAGGCTCAATAGATTAAACATTTTTTCGTTCTGAGTTTCACTGTAGAATTAATCTGTACTTATTCATTGGTGACTCTCCACTTGAACAATCACTGTATTCTATTTGTATTCAAGTATATATGTATTAATACTGCACATCAGATAATTGCTCTCAAACTTAGCCCTATAATATCACTCTCCATGGACAATGATCTCCAATTATGTCAGACTGATTTTCAGCTATTTTTTGTATGTACATAACCTGATATGAAGTCTTTACTTTATGGAACATACAGTCCTATGCCTTGTCCAGCTGTCAAAAAGGTTGACTGAGTGACCTCACCTGGGGTCTGGAATGACGGATCCACCAAAGTCAATGTGTTGCTCTTTTGAGTCATCGCTCTTCATAGACAGATTACTGGGATCTGGTG